CAAGTTTTTCTTCTAGAAACCAAATTACGAGGAATTGATGAAAGGCTGGGACGTAGAAGTGGCTGTTGTCGTGAGGTGATCGAGGAATTCATTGGAGCACTCGAATTTCGCAATTCACTTTGGAGGTAAGGGATGGGTCCTCCGACGACTGTTGGTTCAGAGTTGTAGAAGGTGATGGGCCAGGCCTTCCTCTGACCTGTCCCATCCGCAGGTGTTAATACTGCTTTCGTTCATTGTGGTTCACGGGGATCTTCCTCTGCTAGATTATTTAATTCCCTTCACATTGCCTTCATACAGAAACCGTCTCTACCCATCTGTTTGTAATCTCACAGTCTCATGTCATCTTCGTCCACCGCCTTCCCACACGACTCTGTCGACCGCGGCCTCAGCATCAGGCCGCATGGAGACGATGATGTTCGGAATTCCCAATACCGCTTGGGAGATGCAAAAATCATCTCTACGCTATCGGAATGTGCTGGATGGTATACACATGTTACCACCCAGGAGGCGTTAACCTTAAATGGCATCTTAGGGTCCTAACGAGAATGGTACCCTGTGACCAGAAAAATAAGGACACTTCTTAAGATGGAACATGAACGTTCGAACTCACCAAGGTCTCAGCCATTGGCAGTGTTCCCACTGCTTAAACGTCTCATGAAATCTAGCAAGAGAAAAAGCTGTAGTGGTGGTGGAATTCTCGGAGGGAGGACCTGGGTGGTTGTGTGTGGCCGTGCGTGCCTGTACACCCACAAATACTCTCGCACCAAGGAGCCCAAGAGGCTGCCGGCCATCCCCCCCTAGAAGAGTTTTTTTCCTTTCGCGGCGTGGGAGGCCAGGCAGAAAAACCCATCCAACTCTAATTTTACGCGTCTCATTTAGGGGGGGGTAGGCTCGATGGTTCAATATGGATCCGATACAAAGGTTTGATTGAGAGACACATCCCCCTCTCCCACCACAGTTGTACAAATATCAGTGTCTGTGGAATCGGCAGCGTACCTCTGCACATCTGTTGTCGTTGTAGGTATGTCCTGATTTGGTGGAACCTTGTACAGATTTATTGTCGTGCCCATATCTAGGACGTGAGCAATGTAGCCATTGGGACTGTGGACGTGGGCCCCACTGCTGTGAACAATGCGTCGCCCAGCATAATAATCTTCTCATGCCTACACGCAGATGGGAAGAAGCACTGTAAGCTGAGACATGGAAATTTCAATCCAGTGACAGCGGGAGTGGGAGAGGGAAAGGGGGAACCAATTGGATTCGGGATACCATACTGCTGGTGATGTGCAAGCCCCGAAACTGGGTAACCACTAATTGAGTTCATGTAGATAGGGGAGTTATCTCTTGCAACTTTCCAAGGACGAAATCTTAGGGCCAAAAACCAAAGGTTATTCTTATCCATTTCGGGCATTACACTTTTACCCTTCTAACCTTGTAAACGTGTCTAGGCATAATGGCGCCTTCCTTTAAGGGCATACCAGCGTAGTACAACAGAGGTCCAAGAGCATCGAGGATCTGTCTCTGGATATGAAACAGAAATGTCTTACGCTAATCATAGAGCGCTTGAAACCAGAAAAAGCAACATAGCACGCGGTGCTGCTTAGCACCTCCCAACCTCATGAACAAGGGCCATTGATCACAACTCACTAGCAGCAATAGGTCCGCTGAAATCATTGGATCCACATACATACCAAAAACAAAGTTCACATAGCAACAAAGAGCATCATTAGACAGAACCCCCTATTATGCTCATTACATCTCGAGCTAACTTCGGACAGGTTTTGGACTCTGTATCACGTTCAGCTTGGTCTAAAGTCCAATGTAAAACCATAGACACCCATACATAATGGACAAAACCGTAAGCCCACCAAACGGGCCACACAGTTAATTTTAGACAAATCTCACGCTAGTTTACATGCACTGTTGCGCACACCAGGGAATGTCCACGCACAAAATACAAACAAAAGGGA